GTTGGATGTACTCAAAAATGTCACTACTCCAGGAGAGTCAAATCCCTAGCAAAGCCCCTTCCGTCCTTGCACGTCTCCTCTTCTGGAAGTGTCTAATACTGGTCTGTGCTGACCCAGCATCTCCACCCCTCCCTTCACCTCCCTACATAACATTAAATGTAGCTGCTAGGGTAGGAGCAAAGGGGAATAATAATGTGCCTCGAGTGACCGCTCCGGGTCTGCTGTGGCTGCTGACATCTCATCCAAGATGGCGGCACTCAGCAACAGTCTCAGGGCTTTTGGATGTCTATTTAACGGATGCTTTTACAGCTACATAACAGGCATACAATATGTTAAATGCACATATAATCTAATGGTAAGATTTTTGTTGAGATGAATAGTCAGACGATTGGGTTACCTTCATATTATGGATTAAGGAGACCCTAACAAGTGTATACTTATTTTGTCCCTACTAAAACCACTTGGTCCCTCCACCAAAAGCAAGCAGTCCCAGGTTAAGGTGCCTTTGGTTTTATGTCTCTGAATGAGTGTGATAGAGATCTTAGATGGTAAACTAAAGCTGCCCACACACCTTACAATTTATCTGCAGATTTTCTGTGGTCAGATGGAAAAGGTGCAACAGATTCCTCTATCTACACTTAACTGTGTGGATGGAGTAATCTCCAACTGGGCCAATCTGTTGCACTTTTTCCATCTGACCACAGAAAATCTGCAGATAAATTGTAAGGTGTGTGGGCAGCTTTATGTGGGCCAGAGGGTGAGTGGCCAGTCTATGTATTCTGTAAAGCTCTGTGATAAGGTACTTGTTCTCCCTGTAATTGCATGGACTGTTATGGTAAAACACGGCGTATTATGTTTGCACTATTAAAAATACAATGCTTTGCTTCTGTGGAACTTCCCCTGAGGGCTACATGACGCAAGTTATCCAATGTCTTTTACTAGTGTTTTTGTTGTTGGCAGGAAATGAAGATAACAACTAGAAGGGCTAAGTAGACTCCTTGACATAATACAGGACATGACAAAGGACGGCATTAGATTTCAGTCAGATCAGTAGAATATGTTTGCACTCATCAAACAGATATAACAAAACACCTTCAGTAGTATGTTCAATAAACCAAAAGGGAGTAAATAAGAGAAGTTCATTGTTGGGGTTTACATACACTTTAAAGGAGAACTATGGGGTCAGGGCTTTTCCCCATAGTTCTCCTTAGGGTAACGGGAGGACACAAACTAGCGTCCTCCCATCACCCTAGGCTCAGTATACCGCGAGCTACAGCTCGCGGTATACTGAGACGCCGGAGCGGATCCCGTCATCGATGTCGAGATCCGCCCAGCTGCGTGAGTGACAGCTGGCTCTGCCTATCTAGAGGCAGAGCCAGCTGTATCCGCCCCCTCCCCTGTCTGTTCCGCCAGTCAGCGCTGGTGGGGAGAGGGGAATCCAGCCCCTCCCCCTGTCACGGCAGAGAGCTGTGACAGGATCGAGAGGTGAGCGAACCCGGTGTGTGTTTGCTCACCTCCCGATCTACTGAGCCGACCTGTGACAGTCTCATTGTCACAGGTCGGCTAGAACTATGAGGTGAGTGGAAAGCACTCACCTCATAGTTCTCCTTTTAAGTAACAGCTTGCCCAGAGCACACCGCTGCTTAGTGCTCTCCATACACTCAGATGAACTACTCTATTCAGACAGAAACATAGCTAAGTATTTTTGTTATTTTGTGCTGCATTATTTTAAGCTCACGATTCATTTTTGTTTAAATAAAAGCAATTTAAGTTATATATTGTACATTGCAAGCATTTTAGAAAAACTTAATTGCAGAGTGCTGCCTGCTGGTGTAGATGCTTAGACAAGTCATTGCAGTTGCTACCTCAAAAAACTGTCCGGTAGGAAGGTTTGCCTGCTATAATCACAAAAGTCACTCTGTTCTATAAAAAGAGAACATGCATCTCGGCATCCCTGTGAATACTGGTGCCCAGCCTCATTTCAATTCCGGCTTTGTTCTGCTTTTGCCATGGTGCCCCCTCCCGGATAGTTTTATTTTTGGCATATATGTAAGCAGTTTTAAACAGAAGCTGGATGTCTGCATCTACCACGTGTGTTTATTAAACACTTTGCTAATTATTTTTCAAATGACCTGGTGGAAACACAAGTATGTATAGATAAAAAGAGCCATGTGGTATTGTGTGGCAATCCGACGGTAGAATTTGGTGTCATGGTCACCCAGGACTCTCAGCCAGAGGGGCTGAGAGGTTTCGGGAGGCAAGGGTTTGTCTGGATTCTGGCTGGGGTTTCAAAGTGATTCAGGAGGGATAAGATCTCCATTGCTGGGTCCAGGGTTTAGCGGTGACCAGCACCCAATGATTGCACAAGTGTGCACAACCCTTAAAGAAAGAATGCTGACTAGGGGAATTAGCTCCTGCTGGGAAAAAGGAACAGACTGTTTTCAGGGGTCAAGAGGACTCCACCCAGAAGTCAAAGTGGGGATCAGGTGGTGTGTGTGCTGGAGGCACACAAAGACAGCCAGGGAGGCTGGGAGAGCCGAGAGCCTGAGGGGCGGCCAGTACAAGTGCGGGACAGCACTACAGAGAGGACCGGTGGGTCAGAAATATTAATGTGAAGAGTGGAAGCCAGGAGGCTATACTTATGTTATGTTGCAAGCGGTGCATGGATACTGTACTGAACAACCCCTGTGAGGGTATTCAAGGTGGATGTGTGAACTTTTGTTTAACTAAAAGTGGGCTACCAAGCCCTCAGGGCTTATTCACACCATGTCCGTATCATGTCCAGAACGGAACAGTTTGTTCCTGGACCAAAAAAGCAATCCAATGTATCCCTATGTTATTTCTGGGCTCTGTTCACACCAGCGCAGTCTGTTCTGGACCAGCTAAAAAAACAAAAATACCGCTTGTCTCCTTTTCTCTGGTCTGGAATGAATGGAAACAAATCAAAAACATATACAAATGCACTGGACTGCACCTGAAAGCTCATTTTAAGCTAAAAAAAAACGAAAACAAATGGTATAGATTTGGTCCGGAAAATTATGTGAGCCTGGCCTAAAAAACAAGATATTGCGAGTGAACTGCATCCCTAAAGCGCTCACCATTTGTGCTAATATCCCCAAATATCACAGCCATTAATTTATTCCTCCTTTGATCCTGTAAGGAGATCCGAAAAGCACCCCTCTTAGTGGCACTTGAGAATTGGTTTTGGAAGTTCGGGATCACAGAGTGCAAATTCAAAAACGTTTGACATGTTCAATAGACACCAAAATTGAGTAGCTAAAAATTCAGCTGGACTCTGCGGTCTTTTTCAATAGTTTCATCCAGTCTGAGTCTCAAGGTTGTTTTTGAGACTCTTCCGAAGATGTGTAGGACTGCCATTAAAAGAAGCCAGTACACAGCATTTATGAAGTGTGCATTATGAGCTTACAATGGAACTTTTTATATAGCAGGTGTGCCTGGTAATGTGTTATTTCACTTACCTGTGAATATCTGTGACTACTTTTGTGAGAATGCCAAGGATACTATCAGATGTTCCTCCCTCCTACTATATGTATAGACTTTAACAAATGTGGACATTCCGATTATGTTAACCGTCCCTGGAGAGTTTGAAAAGCCAATTTTAGGGAGGTGTGTTCTGGTTTGTCAGATGCTGTTTTGGCAGATTTAGTGAAGAAGAATGTCAATGCTCTGAGTACAAATGAGGACACATTCTGTGTGTAGTATAAGATTGTTTTACAAAAGCCTTTTGTTATAACATAACATTTATGGTACCTTGACAATGAAATATTAATGAAAGTGATTCAAAGTCTATTATACAACTTTCTCAAATAATCTCAGCAGTTACCTCTTGGCCATTGGAACCTGTTCTGGGCTGGTAGTGCTGGCATTTGTCAGAAGGATGAGGGCTTCTTTACTTGGTTTGTTATGCAATGCTAAAGATTTAAAGAGACCCTGTGGTTAAACAATTTATTTCAACAATAATCTTCCTGTAGGATTATAAATAAATATATTAACAATAATCAGCAGCTTCAAGTACTGTAGCTTTTGACTTGTAAAAAACACAAACATACCAGCCCATGAAGTCCAGCGCTGTCTTCCATGCTGACGATTCTTCTCAGGGCTTCTGATCTTCCGCTGTGCCATCTTGAATCTGGGAGTTGGCTGTGACTTCCTGATCACTGACTGCCATCCCCCTACTGTGCATGCGCGAGATCCTCGCCTAGGTTGAGGAAATGGGAGCGTGCATCGGCAAAAATAGGATACCCACTTCCTGAAAAAATGAATTTGTATAAGCCGTAAGGGAGGAATAGGATGATGAGTGTAATTTTTGGGTGAGGGTCTGGTGTTGGGTACTGTTTTAGGTTTTGTTTCCATAGAACTATAGCTGAAAAACATTTTGTCGACATATATACCCAAAAACACATTTAAAGTGCATCTGTCATGAGGGAAGTTTTGGCTGTTGAGATTGCGGACCGCTCTTTGAAAATACTGGTTCCCTGGCTATCATGTTAATGTATTAGTTTCAGGGTCCCTGACACAAACATCCTTTAGATTTCTGTCCTGACTGGAGTACATACCGTGGTACCTCAGTTCACGAACGTAATTTTTTCGACGATTCTGGTCACGAACCGAATTTGTTGTGAACCGAATCAAACTGTGATCAGATCGTGATCTCGACGAGAGGAAGCCACAACCATGTGTCAGAGCGGGGAAGATGGTTGTGGTTGTGTTCTTCACCCGATGTAGAGTTCATGAATGGAAGCAAAATTTTGCCGAACTTCCTGTTCGCGAACAGAAGCGTTCGTGAACCGAGGTACCACTGTACAAGTATAACTTTCCAAATGTAGGAGCAAATGCAATACATAGGAAGTGACGATTATTCAGACATGAGAAGTGAGGTATGCAAAGGTTCTTGGGAACTGCAGACATGAGCCCCCACACAGTAATTTGCAGCCTTGCTTGTGACAGTAAGTAATAATAAATGTTATTTCTTTGTACAGGAATTTATTTTATCTGAAGACTATAACAAAATGAGCCCAACAAGAACATATCAAGGTAAGAAACAGAATCGCTGTTTTGAATTTGGTATGGTAATAAACTTCTCTCTTTTGAGTTATGCAGGTCATTCATGGCTAATATTTGATCTGGGTACCAGTCGGATGTGTTGCTCTTTAGCCTAATAATCACTGGATACCACTCTGCATTTCTCTCAGCTCAATTGACGAATGTTAGAATTGCGGGGATCCAGCTAGTGCACACAGCGTTTGGGCATTATTTTCTTAAATTTATAAATCAAATGTATTCCTATATAAATGAGAATAAACATAACTCTTAGTACAAAACATGTTTCATTTGTGATAAAGCTGATGTATATTAAGATATTTCTGTTATTCAGAACTGATTTATATAAGCCAGCTGGTGTTTTACACTTTTTTATAATTGAAGAGCTACACTTTTTGGTCAACCCCTTTACTACATCATGATGAGTCACAGCGGAAATTAAAGCAGATGGGAAGTCTACAAAAAGCAGAGGAGGATAGCTCCATCAAGTTAGAGCAATACTAGTAATATGTAAATGATATTGTAAAAAAAACGAAGTACCGGAGCAGAAAGGGCTATGGGATTAGAGAATGCTCAGCAGTTAGTCATATCTCTTCCTCCATGAGCTGTTGTCATTCAAGCTGTACAGAGCAGGGAAGATGGTGTACAATGCAATTATAGGCAAGCATTACAGCAGTGCCAGCAGGGGTATGTGCACAAGCAGCATGCATGGGCATGTACAGCTAAAGTCCATCTTGATGACTAGGTTTACAGCTTTATTGGCATTATAGCCTTAAAAGAGGAAATGGCATTCTCACAACTGGCAGGATGGGCAGGTAATATCAATAACATTGCAGTGGGAAAAAAACACAAGGGTTGTACAGCTTAAAGGACCACGACTTGCAATATTACATTTTGTTTTTTAGACTTACAGGTTTAGGTAGAGCAGGATAACAGAAGCTGGCATCTATTGGTATAGGGAGCTTTTATGCTTCAGACCCATATAGGCTGGCATGTCAAGGAGGAATTTTGTCAGTGCACACATTTAGTTTTAGTTTTATTTTCATATGTGTGGGACTTTTAGAGGCTGGGGACCACATGAAGAAATATGTTTTTTTCCACAAAAGGTGGATTTTGTGCACGTGCAAATAGAGCATAGCAGAAATTCTGTTTAAAATGCACCTGGATATAAATAGTTGGCAAGTGGTTGTTCAGCAGAGTTCATCTTTGGCCGTTTACTGTGCTATCTGTGCTGGAGTTCTGTGTGCCCAGTTTCAGTCTTTTGCCCTTCATCATAGTTGGCATTGGGAGTCTGGGGAGGAATAAACCACCTCTCCTCAGCAGCAATAGCTGTGTGACTGAGCTGATGGCCAATCTGATGTGGTCCTGAAAGCTTTTGTTTGTATGATCTGAGGGCTGGGTGTGCAGAAAGCTTGGGAGCTCACAACAAAGTGTGCAGCTCTTGCTCACACTATCTATTAGCTTTTGCTGTAAACTGTTCTGAGATACTGTATTTGTTGTTTTTATATCTATTATTAAATGTAGTTATTTTCTCCATTCAATACAAATTGGTAAACTAAACGTGAGATTGTAGTCCATCACGGGAGCGAGCATGGAGCGGTGACTACTTTACAACACACACAGGGAGCAAGGGGAACAAAAGTAGCCACCCTCCAGAAGGAAGGACAGTGTTGGCACCAATTCAGAGATGATTTATGGATCCACAGCCCAGTGATACACAAATAAAATAGCCATGTGAAAAAGAAAGTACACCCTATTTGAATTCTATGGCTTTTACTAGGGATGCACCGATACTGATACTAGTATCGGTATTGGTGCAGATGCCGAGTATTTGGGTGAGAACTCGTACTCACCCAAATGCTCTGATGACTAGCCCGATACCTGAGCTTCCGGTATCAGGAAGCTGGGCAGCAAGTCATTGCACGCTGCCCGTCTTCACTTAGTGATGAGAGAGCATGGAGCCAGTTCTGCCAATCAGGAAGCCGTGCAGAGTGACTGGCCGCCTAGCTTCCTGATTGGTCGGATGAGAGGATCTACAGCCAAATGATACACAAATAAACTACATCTATGTTAATAGTTAGGGCACTTCAATGCAATTTTAAGATTTAAGAGTTTGGTGTAATTTTAATCTAAATATGAGGCTGGGCCAAAATACCTTAAAACGTTCATGACTGAAAAAGCTGGACTAGTGCCTACCTTCATCCATGTCCTTTCACCAGCCTATTGCATATTGTAGTACTGCATATTCTCAGACACTGTAACAACTGTTTTTTTATTAGATACACAGCTAATAAATTAACTCATACACATGATAACATGTAGGACTTTTATCTTTCTATTCTGTCTCTACAGCCCACCAGAGCCGACTGACAATGGTTCTGTTTGTCCTGGAAATGGAGTGGATGTTGAGCACAGGACAGGACAAGCTGTTCACATGGCACTGTTCGGAGACCGGGGAACGCCTGGGAAACTATCGCACTACAGCTTGTGCTTCATGTCTGCAGTATCCTTTCACATTCTTTGGAATGAATTGAATATGACTTTTATCCACCATGTTTTCACCATATGTGTGATATGAACCGTACAATATTATGGTCTGCCAGTGTGTTAACCTGAAGATAAATTACTTAATTATGAAGAGCAGTGATCTACACCAGCCATTCACATCACCATCTGATGTTTGTAGACTGAGAGCTCATTTCACAAAAGTGTAATCTATGCCATCATTTCATTAGCCTGTGCTGTTTTGCTTTTTAAAAGAATACAAAATATAATAGTAAAAATTGTTCACTCCCTAATGGAATAACTGCACGTATCTTAAATGCAAATCGGTTCAGAAAGGATTATCACATACGGTGACTTGTGAAAACATTTTTGGAGTTTCAGTAAGGGGACTATTTATGAGAGCAGGAAATGAAACCTTTGGAGATGGTGATCAAGATTAATAGGAAAATTAAGCTTTGAACTGTTTAAATTTAGGAAGATGCTTCCATTCCTAAGTTATAAATTGAGGCTTAAGTCAGAAAAATGTATTGCTAATAGCAGTCAGTTTATCACGTGTGAGTAAATGTAATTTTCCCGTGTTATTAAGTAAACCATAGAGTGCAAATTTACATAAAACTGCCCCCGAAGGAGAGCTCAACATTCTGCACAATGGTCTTAATAAATTAACTATATGCAGTGTTATTATTCATCGTCCCTGGCTTTGTTGTGGGTGATGGTGGTCTCAGAGGCAGGGGAGACCGAGGATGTTCAGTGCACGTCTCCCACTGCAAAACCCCAGCAACTTGGCTATTCACATCCTCGCTTCTAATCTGCACTGCATAGTTATTTTGATATTCTGGAAGAGCACTTCAAAGAAAGGCAAAGTCACTTGCTTGGTGTCACAGTTGACAAGCAGATCCTTCTCTGCTTTCTGTCACTGGGCCCAGGAGCATATACACTGCAAGGCAAACGAGGCATTTACCTTGGGTGGCCCTTTCCAGGGGGCAGCAAAAAACGCCACCCGCAAATTAATGAAGTGAGCCTCGACTGCCTAATCAGGCAAATTAGGTGACCGCTCGTGGGGCCTCGCGGCTGCCTAGTTTGCCTGAGAGAGCTGTCTGGTGGAGGAAGAGGCAGGGCCCAGTGAGATGCGGCCTGGCCGGCAGAGGTGGAGGAGAAGCTGCGGGCGGCTCGGGGCTGGCCATACCCCATGATCTGACGTCAGGATGTCCCTGAGGCAGGCTGGGAAGCTGCAGGGAAAGGGACCCTGCAGAGCCCACCATAGATCCTGCACAGCCCATCTGAGAGTCTCAGGTGGGCTGTGGGGGGGTCTGTGGTGAGGTCTACAGGATCTATGATGGGCTGTGCAGGGTCTCAGATGCGTGCCTGTGTCCTTAGTTACCCTCTTTTTGATGTATGGTAAATATACACAAAATCCATCCAGGACAATAAGATTTCCACATAATCAGTTGGGCTGAGCTGGTAACATTTGGGATCTAAAGCTAAGCAATATATAGATGCAGAGTGATTAAACTCACAAATAATGAAATATCTGTTCTGGAGCTATCTACTACAATATTTTGGTTGATTAGGAGAATCGCTGTAGAAGTTGAAGCTCCGTGATCATTCAACTCGTGCTTCCAGCCTAGTTTGGCTTCTTGTATACTAGAACCAGTGTGAATCAGCTAGAACTAGTAAAAACAGCTGCCTGCATAACACCAGTCATGAGGCTGCCAAAGCAGAATTTATGTCTCTATTTCTCAATCACTTTTACACAAGTCGGAACCCACTCTCTGACCTCTGCTACTCTTATAGCCATTTGGTGATGAAAGAGGCATGCTTGTTGACTTTGTTTTAAAGAAAATGTTTCAGGACAGAAGTATGAGAACTGCCACTGCAATGCAGTCGGTAAGGTAGTTAAAGCAAGGGTAATGATAACCTCTTCTTGCTCTTTGATTTAACTACTTCACTGACTGCATTCAGGTTTCATTAACCTGAAATCTATGTTGGTTATGGTGACCACTCTACATCAAAGGAAATTAAAAAAGTGTATTGTATGAGTAACTGTCCTATTGGCTATACATCTCTAGAGACTGCTTTTTAAACGAAATCCTTCGTGAGAATTAAACCTATGATTCCAGGGCTGTAGGCAAGAGTGATAATAACTTAGCCTCCATATCAGACCTGTGCATCTCATAATTTAAATATTAATGTACATATAACAATCGGTAATCTGTTCTAATAATGATCTGCAATGTGGACGGATGGAATGTACTTGCTTTGGTGGCTTGTTTGATGTGACGCCCAGCACATGTTTTAATGTGGAAATTAAATTCATTTGGAGGTCGGGGATAACCTTCTAAATCCCTTCGATTAGACAATTATTTTATTGCAAGTAACAATATTTAACTCTTCCTACTGCAAGTGGCAAATGGCATGCCTAAGCTGGTAACTGTACAATTTTCTTCATAATGTTACTGGTTTCATCACTGGTGACATTTTATATGACCACAAAGGCAAAATGTTCTTGCATATCTGCATCTAGACCAGTGGTTGGCAATTTACAAGGTGTAGGGAGCCTCAACTGAGGCCCCTGACAGCTCCAAAGGGCCACACAAAATATTCAGTATGTGACAAGATACTGTCAGATAATTCAGACATAGTAGAGGAAGGTGATCGGGGACTGAAGACATGCAGCAAGGGTAGTTGGAGACTGTAGGCACACTAAAGGAGATTGAGAGATACTGGGGACATGCTGCATGAGACTGCTGGAGATCACTGTCATAACCTTTTCACAAATAGAAGCTTTAACTACAAGAGTGCTGGTATCTGTAAATAGCCACACAGCATGTCCCAAGGGGCTTAGTTTGGCCCTTAGACCACAAGGGGCCTAGACAGAAGAGACTGGTTGACATGTCTGATAAATGACAAGTTACTAGAAACTTCTGAAGAGCAATGATAGTACTTCCGAGTATACTAGACATTGGTCATGCTCAAAGCTAAAGGAAAAAAATGTGTAGTGTTGATTTTTACATTTTTAACACAGTTGTGTTTTAAAGGTTTAAACAATTTGAGAGTGTGTGTCCTGCAAACCTTTCCAGCAGTCCTAGCCCTGGTGAAGTGGACTGTAAGTGTGTACAGTGTGTAAGTATGTACAGCATGTGCTTTGTTCTCTTCCTCGGAACAGACTGTTAAAGGGTCGGTCCACCTAAAACTGGTTTATGTTTTTGGTAGATGTTGGCGAGCCAAACCCACCTGACAATTTCCCATATCTCCTTGTTATTGTATTGGTGACATGTTGCTCTTGAGTTCCTGGATGCTGTGACCATAATAGGAGTATCCTGTCCCCCCTGTTTATATCATCTATAAAAAAATAAATAAATATTGAGAATCCATCCTGTGGTATATCCTGTGTCACATCTGCTCTATCATCACTTTTGAGTCAACTGACTCGTTGATAAACAATTAAAGGGACAGAAAGCAGCACATTGCCTCTCCTAGCTGCCAATCACTGAGATTTGGCACTGATCACCACAAAAAGCTGTTTTACTTAGTGATCCTTTCAAGAAACTAAAATTAGCCAAAAAGCTTTCCCTGCACACAGAGACACTAAATCATCATCTCTCCTACTGCCTGTGCCATTTCGCTGAGCAGAAACGTTCCTCTAAAGTCTGCTGAGAAAACGGCACTCATGGAAGTGTTGATATCCTGGTCCCCCTGCTGTGCTCAGTGGTTCCTTCCATTAACCTCCACATGCCTACTGTCCCCTATAGTGGCACAAAGGTCACTGGGATGAACCACTACATGCTTCAGGGAACCAGGAGATTGACACTCCCAGAAGTGTTGGTTTCTCAGCAGATTTCAGAGGAAAAGTTTCTGCTCAGCAGTAGAAGAAATTACTTTTTTCTTTTGCAGGAAGAGCATTTTGGCTATGCTTAGTTTCCTGACAGGGTCTCTCTAAAGCCTTGGTTCTCGACTGGTGGGCCGTGACCCAAAAGTGGGTCATGACCCTATATTCAGTGGGACGCTACGTGCCTTCCACTTTTCTAGGTGAGAGGCACAGCACTGTCAGTTCTCGCTCCAAGTAGACATTCAAATTATGCTCCCCGGCGCCAATTGTCAAATTGAGGTGGGGTGGGATGAAGCTATGGCCGTGAGGGAGCTTCATCCACACATGCATTGCTTACAGCTCCCTCACGCGCCCCGTAGAGGTGCCTGGACCAGAGTGACGTCACATTTTGGCTCCCGGCACCTCTACAGGGCGCTCAAGGGAGTTGTACAAGCATTGCACATATGGATGGAGCTCCATCACAGCACAGCAGCCCACACTGGACCCCAGGCTGAGGATCCACTCCCGTTCTCGTAAGGTAGGTAGACTGGGTGGATCAAAAAAAAAACAAAACTTTTTTTGAGTGTATATGTGTGTGAGATTGTGTCTGTGGTTGTGTGTGTCTGGTAGTGTTTTTGAGGGCCTATTCACAATAGTACAGTGCGGTAATCGAACAGTCCTGTGCAATTAACGCACTATACCACACAATCACACCTACTACGGGTTCGGTTGCGGGAGGTGCGTTGCATTGCCATTCATTTGAATTGCAAACCTCCCGTCCACAGTTCAATCTCCCGCACCGGAACATGTGGTACCGCAATGCCGCTTGTTCCATTGCAGTGCGACTTGGGTCGCGACTTAATGACCAAGGACAAATGTGGGTCTTGAGGTTACACAGGTTGAGAACCACTGCTCTAAAGTGTATGTAAAACCAATCACTAAAATCTTATAGAAGCTTTAGATGTGATTTAAAGTTGTTTTCTGTCTTTGCAGATTTTAATAAGATTAATACCTGAGATCCTGTCATAAAAGTCCTTGTTCATTTACTGTGATAAAGTGACAGCTGTTCTCCAACTGTGTTCCTGCATTGTCACCTTGACTCCTATTAAGAAAAGCAGTGTGTCGCTCCAGGTTAGTCCATGCTTACCTGCTATATCCAGGTTCTCATCCAGCTCATTTGCTGACCACCACTATGCAGGAAAATTGGGTGACTACACACCAGCTTTATCCAATCGCTTTCTGTATTCTATCATAAACACAGGAGAGGAATTGAGACCGTTGATACGTTTCACGCATACAGGCGCTTAGTCATAGTCAGTTTTATGAAAAAATAAAGAGAGTTTGGACATAGCTGGTGTGCGGTGATCCAATTTTCTTGTATAGCACCTTGACACACGTGTCCCTGACCGAAGACTTGAAGAACTCTGGGAAATTTTTTATTAACCCTTGCAGTGGGGCTACCCTCACACTGCATGGCTTAAGTGCTCATTTTGGTCTAGGGAGGAAAAAAAAGTTATACTCGCCTGATCCTCTGAGCTGACTTGCTCTTAGTCCAGTCCTTCCAACCTCTCTCCCCCTCTGCTGCAGTGGCCTAAGGTCCCATAAATCATCATGTCCAATATACAGTGTATAGGATATGAGGACGCCAAGGGATATACCATCACTGGAGTAGAGGCGGAGACTGGCAGGGGGAGCGCTGTCACAGCTGGCTGGCTCCGAGCATCAGGTAAGTATAACTTTATTTTCCTCCCCGGACCAAAACGAGCGCTTAACAAGGGTTAATAATAATTTTCCCTGTAGTTCTGCTTTAAGGTGGCTGTGCAGATACACATTGCGCAGGAACAGTCTACTGTTGTCACTATCCAGTAGCCTGTCCAGAGCAATGATGTGCGGCTGATGCAAGATGTAGTAAATGGCTAATTGAGGTTGGAGGAGATCACCAGTGCTAAGATGCAATAAAGAATGATAATAAATAATAAAATAATAAAAATGTAAAAACTCATTAATGAAAAACATTTTAAAAAAAGTTTTCTTTTCAAAATGTAAGTCATTAATTTAGGGTTTAGATGTGTTGGTATTATTATATGAAGGGATAAAGGCTGACCCGTTTGATTATGAGTAATGGAAGAAGAGATCAGGCACCCTGCTTTTGTCTTTATGTCCCTTAACATCAGCTTGACAGATTTGACGTGGAGACGAAACACGTCTTTGTCGGGGATCATTCTGGGCAGGTTACAATTCTAAAACTTGAACAAGACAACTGCAGCCTCATTACCACATTTAAGGGACATACAGGTGAGCGGACATCAGGTAAATTACTTCAAAAATAAGACGTCATTTTATCTCCTACTTAGTAATGCAGCCACCAGGACCATTAAAGCCCCTTCATACCTCCAACAGCACCCGTAAGAAAATGTCGCCAGTGCTAATTCGAATGGAATTCTATATTACTTTCTGTGCTTTCAAGAACACAATCTTGTATATCCCTTTTGGCAATAGTGAGACATCACATTAATCTCAGCATCACAATAATCTCAGAGCCCTGTGTAAATGTTATGGAGAAAAAGTCCTTTCAATGACATTCGTCCACGCCTTCCCACGACTGTGTTAAGCATCGAGCAATTAACGCTAACCTCTAATTACAGCAATTTACCTGCCTAGACTTCTCTTAATCCCCAGATCTTGTATCTGAGGGTTTTTTTCCATGACTGTGCTATGGTAACACAGCCTAACGTTGTTCTTTCTTTAGTTATTAGGTATTGCCTTTATACATTGTTCTCTTGTGTTGGGTATTAGCCCCGGATACTATAAAAGAAGAGTGCCAATCAAGCAGCTAGAAACAAATGACATTTACCTCTATGAACCATTTTACCTGCCAAATATTTGAAATTTTATTTATCAAGTGTTCAGACTCGCACATCTTAGCTACACTGTATAGCCAGCGTGGTGACACCACAATTTCGGGTTTCAGTTTTTTTTTAACTTCTGGTGTCACCTGCTTGTTCATTGAAGCCTGGAAGTGTGAAGGCTTGTATTGATAACAACCAGTTTTCTTATGTGTTTGATTTGTGTCCTTCCTAGTTTTACATCTGGATAGGCAGTTGTGACAGTGTAAAGGTGTAGGTAACATATAGTTGTTGATGGGAGAAATAGAAAGTGGTTTGGTTCCACAGGTTGTTGTTTCTTGAACTGGTATTGGTGTTGTAACCTATTCTGGGAGGACCAGAATGGGGCAAATCAGATGTCCATTGATTTTAAAGGGGTAGGTCAGATGTCCCTTGATTCTATATGGGGTAAGTCAGATGTCCCTTGATTGTATATGGGGTAAGTCAGATGTCCCTTGATTGTATATGGGGTAAGTCAGATGTCCCTTGATTGTATATGGGGTAAGTCAGATGTCCCTTGATTGTATATGGGGTAAGTCAGATGTCCCTTGATTGTATATGGGGTGAGTCAGATGTCCCTTGATACTATATGGGGTAAGTCAGATGTCCCTTGATTCTATATGGGGTAAGTCAGATGTCCCTTGATTATATATGGGGTATGTCAGATGTCCCTTGATTATATATGGGGTATGTCAGATGTCCCTTGATTCTATATGGTGTATGTCAGATGTCCCTTGATTCTATATGGTGTATGTCAGATGTCCCTTGATTCTATATGGCGTATGTCAGATGTCCCTTGATTCTATATGCATGTTCATCATCAGGACTGGACAAATCCTAGGAGCCAGCTAACCAATGCTCCTTAAAAATTACTAACTTTTGAGGTTTCTTCTAGTTGTTGTCAATGGAGCTGGCTCCTAAAAAAAAACAAAAACCTGCTGGCTCCTGGATTGGACAGACTGGCTCCTCAACCTGGTGTTCATAATCCAGTAGATTTGTGTAGTTGCTGTTGTACAAATGTGCACTTTCTTTCCTTACAGCTGGGGTGACCACCTTGTGCTGGGATGCGGTACAAAGACTTCTGTTCTCAGGCAGCTCAGATCATTCCATTATCATGTGGGACATTGGGGGACGAAAAGGAACGGCACTGGAACTACAAGGGCACAAGTAAGCACTTTATTTTGAGGGGGTAAATGTGGGAAGAATAGGTCCGGCTGCAGTGGCCACCAAATAAGTGCACCTGTTCATTCATAACTGGGGACATAGCTTACTATGTCCTCAGTTATTTAGAAACATTTAGCGATCAGTACTCTTCATCCTGACTGCTCTGCCTGTCACAGGAGGCCGAGCTCTCGTTGCCTCCTGACAGCTGTCTCCTCGCTGCACCGCCCCGCTTGGCCTGACAGCTTCTCTCCTCCCCACTGGGTGTCGGCAGCTGGATCAGCTCTTTGCCTCTTCTGATCCCTGCTGCCTCTGCTGACACAGGCCGGGGAAAGCAGCGGGAATCCGAGGGGACACAGACCGGCGCCTAGCAAAAAGGAGTAAAGCTAGGGATATACCGCATTTTTGGCTGTTTTGGTAATTTTGACATTTTGCCCATAGTACCATTTTCGGCTGAAATTTTGGTGCATCCCTAATATACATACATTCATACAGTACATATACAGGGCTGGACAAATCCCAGGAGCCAGGTAGCCAATGCTCCTTAAAAATGACAGCTTCTGCCCTACTTTAGGCCTTGCAAGACTCTTGACAGCCACAGGCATGACTCCCGGGGGCAGATGCTTGATGGGATTTGCAGTTTCACCACAGCTGGAGGACCGAAGTTTGGCTACCCCTGCTCTAGTTGTTGTCAATAAAACTTGGCTCTTAAAAAATTCTGCTTGCCCCTGGACTGGACAGACCTGAATTCCATAATAATTTGTCTTCCCCCTGCACAAATACAAGCACACTTCTAGGTAGATTGAGCAACCAGCGAGCGTTAATGTGCAGCCCTCCCCCTGAGCGTTTCTCTTAAATAACCAGTTTTCCATGTGGCGGCGTGCTCTTGTGCACGTAATGATAAAATTACACGTGAGTCACTGATTAGTCCATGACAACTGTTGCTGTTATTGTGATCACTTAAAAGAAGATGTCATCTGTGTCCGATGATGTGTTTAGTGTTTTGTACACAATCCCACTGAGCATCTTTCATGCACCTTGGGAGGACGGCTGATATCTGTTGCCTGGAAACAGGCCGTGGAGCATTTCAGCTCCTTCTGTAGAGAAATGCCTGGTGAGACGGGCTTTTCAGTCTTCTGTACACACACTTTGTTTCAAAGAACTGTTTTTTTTTAGGGCAGCGGTAGCCAAACTTCAGCCCTCCAGCTGTGGTGAAGCTAAGAAGCCCATCATGCCTATGACCACTATAGGCATGGCTCCCAGAGTCGCCTTATGGGACTTGTAGTTCTAGAAAAGCTGAAGGGCCGAAGAGTGGTGCCCCTGAACTAGATGCAAACTGTCAAAATGGAGTGCATGGTGCATGTTCCTAGTGACCCCGAGGCTAAAAGAGGGATTTAAGTGGGGTGGCTCAGTACACACAAGTGTTCACTTGGACTGCACGGTCTGTAGATGTATGTGCTGCACCCATCATTGTCCTCCTATCCCTCCTAGGTATGGTGTCCAAACTCCATCCTTCAGAGTACCAGGGAAAGAACATTTACCTTTAGCACCTGCTCTCATTTTCTTTGCCTGTAGATAAGACACAGATAAAATGATGTCACATTGATGAACTGAAGAGGCTAGAAGGCTGTGTTTGATCAAGTATCCGGAGAAGTGCTGAGAAATCTGTACAAGTTCACTTCTACAATGATATTCTGGTTATATCTGGTATACCAATGGCCATAACATCTGAGCCTTTCTGTTCACTTCCAAGTAACTAGTGTTCCCGTACTCTCATTGCTTGCCAGCAAGCTGCCTTTTGGGCTAACTCATTAGGAATAGGAAAACCCCTTGTTGCCTTTAGAAATCAAGAACCTTTCAACTTCATTTCTGTGTGTAGGAGAACAAGAATGTTAGCATGCTGTAGACCAGGTGTACGCTGCCTTGGCACTCCAGCTGTGGTGAAACTACATGGGCATTGCACGACTGACAGCCACAGGCATGACTTCCAGAAGCGGATGCATGATGGGATTTGGAGTTTCACCACAGCTGGCATGCCAAGGTTGCCTATCCCTGCTTTAGATGATCAGTATGGAGCTTCATTCAGCTTTTATTCTTTCAATTGGATGAACAGTTCACAGGAGAAGAAAGGTTATCTATGAGAGGTTATCTTCTATTTTGTTTTTTTCTTTGCTCCAATCACAGGCTAGCTTTAATTTTTCATCTAAGTGTCTGTGTTGATGGGCAAATTCAGCTTGCATTCAAGTGCATTCCACTCGCATTTGAGAGCAGTTTGCAATGCTTCAGAGATCATTCAGAGGTGTAATTGACCTGCAGTTGACCACCTGACCTGCAGTTGACTGGTTTCTAAGCTGCATCAAGCTGCTTTTCCATACCCATTGACTTGTATGGGCAGAGAACAAAAGCGTGTCAACAGAAGCCCATAAGGTCTCACGCTGTCTTGAAGAATCTATTTTGGTTGAGGTTTGAAACAAAGGCACTCTTCCATCTGCTTTGTGAACGCTGAACAATCCTGGTAGTCAAAGCCTTGTTAAGGCAAAGATATTACTGCTGTTCCTGCCCACTTCTTACTCATGCGATTTACTATGGCATTTTGTATCTGCCATGACATTGTGGTTAAGAATGAATGGGATGTAATGGAAGGGACAAGGCTTTGCATTGCTGTAACTTGGCACAAATATGGAACTCCATTAGACCATTCAGATGTGCCAAGGGGGATTGTTCTATGACATTGTCCCTTGGCTTTCATAATGGGGAGTGTTGGGGGCCTGATGTGAAATGTACAGTGTTTACAAGTGTATTAGGGATCTTCGAAAAATGTGGTGCATCCTTTGACAGAATTCTATTAAAATGATCACGTATCTTGTCATAAATCAGTATCTTTTGCTTGCCACATTTAATCTAATGGATGCTTGTTTTTCTTTTGTCACAGTGATAAAATCCAGCACATCTCCTATGCACACCATTCTAAACAGCTCATCTCCTGCAGCGCAGATGGCAGTATTGTTGTCTGGAATATGGATGTTGAAAGACAGGAGGTTTGTTCGCTGATTTATTCTGTTCAGTCTATTATTATTAGAGTTTTACTTTGGTGATTGCCACTGAAATGTCTGGCTCCTGTTTAAAGTGCACCTGAACCAGAGTCAATGCTTCTTAGCTATACTGTTGCAGGGTAATAAAAGGACAACACCTGTATTCACTTTGGGAAGCCACGCTTTGTATTGTAAGAAATCGGCTCTTCTTCATGCTATGTTACCCGTGGTTGAAAACTAACTGCTCCCTAACCCATGTCTGCTGACATTAGCAGCAGCATAATACCACACACACCCTAAACAGAGCTAAGGTCAATTAATAGCTGCCAAAGTTTGTACTGTCTACACATCACAGGACGTGCGCACATGACGGACCTGCAAATGGGGAGTCTACTTCTTAATAGTGCTGTCAGTCAGAGGCCAATATGGCGGCTTCTACAGTCAGTTTTTGCACTTTTGTTTTGGGGTCAGCGTTGCTTCTACTATGACTCTGTTCTACTTTCCCAGTAAATGAATACTTTTCGTGTCGGCTTTGTATAGAAAAATATGATTTCGGTATGATTAACAAGAAGCGTACTGCTGTACTCAACGATACCCACAAAAAATATCTCAAGGTCCCCCTGTCTGTAATATCTTCCGTTGTGGATTTGAGCACCCCCTATCGAAGCTTTGACCTGTAGGTTCTCCTTCCCCCCAGTGTCTCCCCTTCTTCTTTTCCTTACCCCCCCATCTTTTTCCCACTTAATCTTTGCACTGCTTCTTCTGCTTGCTTCTCTCTGCATGCATTGACATTAGATGACACCAGAGGATTGTGGCCTGAGCTCGGTTTTGCTTAAATATTCTCATCCTGCAAAATATGTGACATTTTTATGACTCTGTGAAATGGAAGTGATTGCCATTGTTATAATCTTAAATAGCATTGTACTTTCATATGGACTTCATTCTAAAAAGTAAAATATTTGTTTATTATCAGGAGCTTTAGAGTAGTTAGAACTACCAGGATATTTATTATACTATGATATGGTTTTGTTTCATTTTCTTTATTTCTGCTGCTAATGCAGATATGATAGCACTATGTGTCTGTGGGATTAAGATTTTATTTTTCTCACTAAAATGTTTTGAATGGAAATTAGGAGCTCTTACAATTGTTAAATTAATTACCAGCTTTTTGCTCATTGCGGAAGACCTGTAACTTACGCTCATGAAAATGTCTGTTTCCTTCTACTATATATTGCGTTTTGACATTACAATTTACATACAAATATATTGCTAATTCTTGGCTGTCACTTCACTTTCTGTCTGGGATATCAAACTCCAGTCCTGATTTTAGCTGAACAGAGTATGTTCTAGTAGTGAAATCCTACCACCAACACACACTATTGGTCCTTCCTTTGTATTCCACCCCCAGCACACCCATTATTCTCTCCCACATATCCCACCCCAGCACACACAATGGTCTTTTCCCTGTATCCCACCTCCAAAACACACATTGGTCTTCCCCCATATCCTACTTCCAGCACATACAATGATCTCTCTCTTGTATCAAACCCCCAAGACACCCATTGCTCTTTCCCCTGTGTCCTACCTCCAGCACACACATATATGGCTCTCCTGTATCCCACCTACAGCACATGCATTGCTGTCTCCCCTGTATCCCACCTCCAGTGCACACATATATGGCTCTCCTGTATCCCACCTACAGCACATGCATTGCTGTCTCCCCTGTATCCCACCTCCAGCACACACATTGCTGTCTCCCCTGTATCCCACCTCCAGTGCACACATATATGGCTCTCCTGTATCCCACCTACAGCACATGCATTGCTGTCTCCCCTGCATCCCACCTCCAGCACACACATTGCTGTCTCCCCTGTATCCCACCTCCAGCACACACATTGCTTGTCTCCCCTGTATCCCACCTCCAGCACACACATTGCTGTCTCCCCTGTATCCTACCTACAGCACACACATTGCTGTCTCCCCTGTATCCCACCT